CTGGTAGCTGGATAATAACAATGAATATAATTTTTAATGGTTTTTTTTATCACTGTGGATTATCTCTAAAAGAGCACATCAATGGGAAGGGCAAAGACGTTTTTGCTAATGGAAATGATTTTACTCTCATTCAGCTCAGTCTCTGAGTTATTGTTACTTTGGGAAGTACAATAAATGGGCTCTCGGTGAAAATGACATTTAAACTTCCACGTGGATGATATTTAATTCAGATTCAAGATGAAACAAAAAAAAAATCTCCTGCTTCTCCATGATGAGAGATTTTGAGAACAAAACACATTAGACCTTCAACTGACCAAGTGACCTCTTTTATGATGCCAGTTATACATTCATGTGCACTGTTATTATATTTCTAATCATAAAAATTCCTGCTATAATGAATCAAATTGTCTACTTTTCTTTTAGCAACCAGATTAGACAGACAGGCCCTGCCATTAGGGATATTTGTATATTTTTGTAGTGCACTTATCCAAAAACTGGTACTGATCTGTGTGCAGATGAACAGTTGGTGGCTTTTGGAGGCAGGTGCGATACATCCCCTTCTAAATCAGCCAAGTATGGCGTAAAGATCTGGTGTAACAGTGATGCCAAAACTCCTTTTCTGCAAAAATTATTTTTAAACTATAATCGAAACCATAACTGATTAGATAAAAGTATTTTTAGTATAAATGTCATTGGAAACCGCAGACAGGTCCATAACTAAATGGTCAGTGACGCAATTTTTGTCATTTTTCCACAGTCGATTTTAAACAATATAACCAAGATGTGATTAAAGTGAAGACTTTCACCCTTAAGTGGTTTAATTAAGTATTGCAATAAATGCGGAGGAATTACAGAAGCACCAAAGTAATGGGCCAGACTAAGATAATGTTAAATATATGGATTTAATAATTGGATGAAAATCATTTGTAGCTAATGACTGCCTGAAGTCTAAAACCTGTGGACATTACTAACTTCTGTAATCCCCTCTTTTAAATACTCTGGCAGGCCTTTACTGCACCCACCTTCACTTCCTGCTTATTTGTGGTTCAGTCACTGTAAAGCCGCTGTATGGGGCTGAGGTCAGGTCACTGACGTGGTCATTGAAGAATATTCACTTTCTTTGCCTCTTGGGCTGATTTTTCTTTGGCATGCTTTCAGTTATTATCCATTTGCACTGAACATAGAGTACCTTCTACTTTTATCAGCAGTCACATCATCAGTAAAAATTAGTGACCCTGTCAGCCTTGCAGGCTAACACAACATTCACGCCATCTTGAATAAGCAAATGCTTCAGCCAATACCTTTTGATTAGCCTTGTCTCATGCTTTCTTGCTTTGTGGTAGATTTTTGTTCTGTATTCATTGATATATTTGAATGCTAATCAATAAAATCAAATCAATCAAACATCATGTTTGAACGATGATGTAATATGCTTGGAATGATGAGCTGCTTCTTTCCATCTCCACACTTTTTAATTCCCATCATTCTGGTACAAATTAATCTCGGTTTAACCTGTAAAAATAATTTCATTCAGAACTGTGATGCGTCAGTCAGCAAGTTGGCATACAGACTGCAGCAGTCAGGGATTAAACCTGCAATTAATAGATCACATGCTCTGCCTCCTCAGCTACAGCCACACCAAGCTCTCAGGCTTTTTAGTGAGCTGGTCAATTCATTCCTTATCCCGAAAAGTTGATTCATCTGGTCGCAGCGTTTTCATTGCATTTCGTCACTCATCCAAGTGACTGCAGGTCATTTGCACAATGACTGAAACTAGCACCACTGGCAAACAAAGGGCTGTGAGGTCAGTTTCTTTATCATTTATATTGCAAATTGTCATAACAATTGATCAACACTCACTGATCAAAGACCATTGATCAGTGGCCAGTGGAATAGCTGCAATCAAAGGAGTGTTTGGAATTTCTTTTCCTGGATGACTGAGCATGCATCAAGACAAATTCATTCCCTACTTTTAAAACAGCCACTGAATGTTTTTTGCTTTCTCACTGATGGGCTTAGTTTATTACTTTTTTGCCTAATTATGGCCGCGGTCACTTGCATGAAGTTGCTACCAAATGCGAGTAATACATTTAAAATCATAATAAGATTTTAATCTACTTAATTTATGGCCTCACATGGCCATGAAACTGCTTCTCAATCAACTGTTAATTTTGAGCTTTAATGGAATCTGGTCAAATAAAATTTACTTGATTCGTTCATTGGTATATATATTCACTTTTAAATATCTCTCTTTATAAATATTTTATACACTTCCTTGTATTTCTCTCAAAATTATTGCTTCATGTTTATGATGCCAAAGAATATTTTTTCGCCTGTACTTAGATTAAGACAGACGTTTTGGTAATAAATGGTGAGATGCATTTTTAATTATTATCATTTAAATCTGGAGGATCAAGAAAAATGGGCTGACTTTTGCATGCTTAAGGATGGAGGGAAATCAGCCACATCATATCTGTAGGTGTAACTTTGTGATTGCACTGTAATCTATTTTAGTTTCTAATGTTATATTTTATTTTGTTTTTTCTTCTGTCCTTGGTTTGCATGTGCTTCTTTTTCTTTTTTTTGCCTTTTTGAAATCCCTTTTATGTTTTATTTATGTCTTTTATGTCTTGCCTTGCCTTAGATCTTGTTTCTCTTATTTTCTGTTAGATCACAAACAATAACAGAAAAAAAATCCTTGTCACACTTGTTGCAGCAGCATGTAATCAATCCCTATATTCTTCCATTTGGTTTAAGTTGGATTTCTAATGTAATCCAACTAATGCCAATAAAGGGAATCAGTACATGTAAGACAGAGCTTAACAGTCAGTGCATAAAACCCAAACACTGGCATTGCTTTTCTCCATTATTGGCACCATCTGAGGGAAATAAAGGTGCCAAGAATCAGCCAGGCGGTTTGTGTGCAGCTACGCGGGTGGGATGTTAACTCATTAGTTTGCGCACCCACAATGAGGGACAAAAACAGGGGGGGCTGAGCTTGATTGGTAAGGCTGTGGAGGTCAAGAATACAGTCATGGTAAGTATGACCAGCTGTGGATTACATTGAGGCAGCGTGAAGGTTGATTGGGAGTTAAGTCAGGAGAAAACGGTGGTGGCGCGGTGATTTCCTCAGATGAGTTTTGTGCACTTGGTTATTACCCAGAAATCCTCCCATGTGACACAAGACACAGACACGGCAAGCCTTGAAATTTCCTTGCAAGGGAACAGAGTTAGAGATGTGAGAAAGGGAAAGGGAAAAGGAAGCCTGTCAGGGTTGGAGAAAATAAACAGTAGAAGGTTGATAGGGTGGTAGGGGAAGACAGAGGGGCGGAGGCAATCCCACCTTACCCCCCCCCCCCCCCCCCCCATTAGCTTATCTCATTCCCCCCCCAACCCTTAACAAGGGATAGTTTTCTCCTCGTCTCATCTTTCTCTCTCCCTCTCTCTATCTCCCGGGACCAAACACACCCCTGACAGGTTGCCATGGAAACGCCTCACACACACAAATGCCCACACACTCACCCACACTCTCTCTCTCTCAGAGACACACGCTCAGCATCACTCTCTCTCGATCTTGCAGCGGTAACGCCTGTATCCCCCCTCCAACCCCTCCATTAGCATCCCTCTTGCTTGGATACAGCAGGGCAGCACTGGCCGAAAGCCCTGAGGTACAGCAGAGTCCTCCGTGCACCTAAATTCATTTGTTACAAGAAAACTTCTAAAAACCATACTTTGGTGAGCACACTGAACAAATGCTTACATGCTGTGGCCTTGGATTTTGGAACGCAAAAGTATTGTTCCCTTTTTAAAAAAAAAAAGTAATTAAAAAAAGGCTTACAAATGCATTTCTGGTTATTTCCCCTGAACTATGCTCTCTATTATGAAGATAACAATGGCCAGATTCAATTTGCACACAATTACTGTAGCCATGCCATCCTCAATTAATGCCCACGGAAGTCAGAGAAGAGCCAGTAGCTGGAGAGTCCCTTGGCTGAGCATAACTCATTTATAATTCAGTCTTATTTCTCGTACTTAAGGTCAGAACAGGCGCGTGTAAAGTGAGGGTTTTTTGCAAACACTCATCCGCATGAAGGGATATCTACACTATATCTCATCCCCGCAGGCTTTTAGGGATCCTGGTCCACTCTGAGGGGGGTACAAAAAAAGAACTGTGTTCCTCAGTGCGTTCCTCTGCTGCAGGGCCACACTGACTCACAGCAGAACACCAGCTTCATACAGAGCTTGTGTCATCCCCCGCCGTGCAGCACAGGAGGGTTTTTATCTCTCCACCTTGTCAAGTGTGTTGGTGTCATCATGTCAGACAGTGTATAGATGCGATCTCTTTGCTGCAACAATCTCAAGTGGGGGGGAAAGAAGTCACATCCACAGGCGTCACCATTCATGCAGGCGGTGGATTGTCTTTTAAAATTTATTTATGTATATATATTTTTTATATTTTATATTGAGTTTTCAGTCATACGGTATGATACATAAAGTGTGATCACAATCCAGCATCCTTTCTTCCCTCAACACCTACATCCCTCCCAAAACAGAGGCAGAGCTTTTATCTCCATTCACCACCACAGACCTCATGGGGACCTCATCAGCTCTCCTGTTCGCATTTATTTATTTACTTATTTGAATAACTTGCATCCTTCCCCCCTGAAAATATTCTCACACCTCCTGCCCGGAGAGGGACTACGCCTATAGTCTGCTGATGAAACCAAGTGTCAATATCTTTTCTTTTTTTTTTTTCCTTTTTTTTCGCGAGTTATCGCCCAGTTGATGAGTGAGTCCGGAAGGGTTTTGTTCATGTTCGTCACGGATTGAAGTGAAATATGAATTTGAGCTTAAAAAAAATATAAATATATATGTATCTCTCTCTCTCTCATATATATATATATATATCTCTATCTATCTATCTATCTATCTATCTATCTATCTATCTATCTATCAGTGTTACAACAATTTAATGGTCGATGAAGTATCACGAGTCTTACCTTTTACCTGCTCCGCCACATGCCAAAATCCACCTTCACGTTTTACATCACTGAGTGGGAGTCCGAGGCGCGCACACTCTTAACACAGACTTGCACAGACTGTGAATGCAATCCTCTCTCTGAGTTGGTCTCCTTCCACTCTGGCTTCCATGGAAAAACGACCTTAAAATAGCAGACTTTTTTTCGTTTTTTTTTAATGTGGTTTCCTCTCCGGTTATCACGCAGCTCAGTGTTTCTGAAGTCGGCTCCAGGTTTAACGAAGCATCGGCACCGCGCTGGATCACGGCGCGCGGAGAGAGAGAGCGAGAGAGATGCGTCAAGCCAGCAGCGTGTACAGAGTGGCATTAAATGTTGGCCTTCAGAGTAAAAGCCTGAAAAGTGCTCTCTGATGTACAGTTGTGCCAAACAGCTGTCATTTAGTTTGGCTGAATGGTGAATACATTTATAGGTCAGCAATCTGAAGCAGTTTAGTCTCGACTTAGATCGTTATTGATCTGGATCAGTAAAATGTACAGGATAGTTTATTAGATACACCTTTTCAGCCTTTTCAGTCTTTGAAAATGCTGAAATTTTTTGTGATGTGGTTTCAACAAGGTGCAAGAAACATTTTGGTTCATATTGATGACATTGCAGAGTTTTGGTAGGTTTGTCTTTGCATATACATTATGTAAATCTCCCATTCCATTCCATCCCAAAGATGCTCATTTGACATTTTCTATATTTTCATGTTCAAGGAACCAGTTTGGGATGATTTGAACTTTTTGACGTGGAGAGATATACTGCCTGAATGAACTTTCATAAGATGGGGATGTGTTGAGGGATGCAACAAAACTCCAATGGGCCAAAGACATGTTCTTCAGAGGTGCTCATCTGCACGACTTGGTTGTCCTAAATGATAATTTTACTTACTCATCCCTTCCTGTCAGCTTGGCCAAGTCACGTATATCATCTTTATTTCTCAGTCTGATACACACTTTGAATTTCAACAGCTCGATTTGACCTTGTCTATATGACTAAATCGATTTAGTTTCTGCCACTGAGAACATAATCAGCTGTACCTAATAAAGTGGCCAGTGAACGTACATATTCAATGTACAAAAGACAGATTTTATTACAACGTCCTTCCAAAGAAGCAGCTTTTATTTGAACCTGTGGTGGTTTTAATCTTGTTCATCTAAAGCCAATTTGCAGTCTTGGTTCAGCTGTTATTAAAATGGATCTCGTTTACAGTTGACTTAGTAGCATTGTGATGGCGGGAAGCATTGCATTAGTGCTAAGTGGCCAGATGATAATCTGGGTAATCACAGAGGATGTTTCTGGGTGCAAGACTTAAGGAGGCAGTGCATGGAGGTATAAAGCACACGGTGGAAACTCCAACTTTGTTTTCAAAGCAAGATCAGGCAGATGAAACAGAGCACAGCACCAAATTAAACTTTGTTTAGTGAGAAGAAGTCCCACAAAGTGGAAACTGTTGCCTTGTACAAGATGGCATGATAGATAAAGAATATTTTAATAAATAATGCGAGACTCCATTCAGCAAAAGTCAAGTCAAAAGAATGCTGTGTCCTAGTGGTCTCAAAGGGTGAGGAGGCCTCTTCTGAAAAGCTAAAACAAGGCTTAAGGTGGACTAAGATATGCACATAGTGGATAATGGAAAAGGACAGTATGTTTTCCATCATATAGACACTACTATGTGCAGCTATTTGTCTACTCTAAGGAAGTTATAATAAGAAGTGATTGTGGAAGCTATAAACAACAGTGTATGTCAGATAACCCCCCCCCCCCATCCCTCCGTTTCCCACCTTAAAAGAGAAAAAACACTTTACTTATCCTCTTATCCAGCATAGAAGATCAAATTGAAATAATGCATTGAATGAGGGAATTATTGATAAAGTGCTTAAACACTTGGAAAAGCTCTTTGCTTTCTATCAGCTGGGCTTTTCTTATCAAAGCTATGGTGGAAGTGAGATGTTACGATCTGTTTTCTTTTACGTGAAACATAATAGTGGTAATGATGCAATATAATATGCTTAAACATCAACCTGTCATGTTAGAGGTTAAAATCAAAATTGGACTCATTTATAAATCCAGGATATTATCAGGTATTAAAAAATAAATGTTGTGATTCCAGCTTTTAAATAGTAAAAATACATTTTATGATATGAAGAATTAAAGAAGGATTTATTAATTCATCCAAATATTTCATTCTTTGGGCACTCAACAGAAGAAGATGGAAAAGAAGAGGCACGATGATGACGATGATGATGACTCATTCTTGATGAATCAGATCAGAATGTCACATTAGCATCAACTCCAAAGCTTTCTACACAACAGGCACTAATCAATGCTCCAATCAATTTCTGTTGAAGCAAACAAACCTTTACATCACAGGTGGATGATGCTGAGACTCCTACATAAGCTTATCAGGGTTTTAAGAAGTCAAGAGCAACAGCGTGCCTCTTGGATGATCCTCACACCTGGAATGAACAGTAATAATTTTTTCCTCATATGATTTAATTTTGAAAGTTTTTACAGGAAGTCCCATTTTATATTGCGCTTTCTTGCCGCTGGGTATGGTGGGACTTCAGTCTTCCAAGTTAATCATTTTGCTTTTACCAGAGAACAGCAGCTCACAGCATGGGACGAGAAAACGAGGAGCGCCTGTGGGATCTGTGTTTCTACCTCCGCTTCCCCCTTTTCCACTCATTTCTTCTTTCTTTGCTTTGCCCTGTGAGACTTTTAATCTGTAATCACCTTCTATCCATTCATGCCTTTACCTTTGTTATTCATACGCGCCACATTTCCCCTTATCGTTCCCTCATTTTAATCTTTTGTGACACACTGTAGCTTAGTCACGGGGGACCCCGCCGACTCAGATGGTATAATGAAGATATGAAATAACTGTGAGTGTTTTCTTACACTACTATTCTTGCGAGGACAAAATGTTCCCACAAAAACTGTTTAAAAATTATATGTCACTATTTTGGGCCCAGGTGTACATTAAAAGTAAAGATTATATTTAGGACCAGATAAAGTAATTTATCTTCACTTAATGCTGAGCTTCACTTAATTTTACATTTATAGTTAATTAAATTTTAGCAAAACATGAATCTAAAAATAATAGTCATTATATTGGTTACATTTTATGTATTAGCATAGCAATTACAAAAGGCCATGCAAGACTCAAGTTCAACGATAAAACAAGAATAAGAACAAAGTGACTCAATGGTTAAGAAAACAAGAGTTTAACATCAAATTTAAAAAGGTAAAAGAATAAAATGATGGAAAGTTAAGAATGTCAAACATATAAAATAAAATTTATATGAAAGCGCTACCATATAAATGAGTCTTTAACAATGATATAAGAGAGAAGACTGATAAAGCGAGTTGGAGCTCCTCATGCAGGTCATTCTATCCCAAACTGCAAACACTTTATTGTCTTTTGTCTTTAAGTGTGAGGTAGGACTAGTGAGCAGACTTGTGCCGGAGGATCTCAGGCTGTGCACTGGTTGGTCTAGGACAGTAGTTTTAATATATATTCTGGAGTCCAGTCAGGAAAAGTAAGAGGTAACTGTCATGGTTGGTGCTGTGTGGCATGCAGGATGTAGGACCCAAATGCAGGACACTCAGATGGAGGAATAAACTCGAAGCGCAGCTTAAATGCTGGACAAAGTTTTCATAAGAAATAAACTTCACAAAAAGCAAACCAAAACCTGAATATGGACACTAGAAACTAAGAAACATGAATTAGGAAAAGTAACCAGGGCCAAGCAGAGAGCAACACAACAGTGAGGGTTCAATGCAACACAGAGCAAGGAAAACACAGGGCTTAAATACAGCTGGAGTAATCAGGGAATGGGAGACAGGAGGGGAACACAGCTGGGATTAATTAGACATAACAAGACAAAAGAAGCAAAACTAGAAACATTGACATGAGACAAGGGACCGTCAAAGTAAAACAGGAAGTATAACACAGAGACCTGACTGACCAGAGAGACAGAGGAAACAAGGAGACGAGACATGACACGAGGAGGAACATGAGAAAAGCAAAATAACAGAAACCAAAATCATAGAACAAAATCTATAACAAGCAGAACCAAAACCCATGAATAACAACAATCAAAGAATATACCTAAAACACACAAAAACACTGGGCCGCAGACTCAGTGTTACAGACAGTAACACCCTCAAATCAGCTCTAAATTAAATGGTCAGCCAGTGTAGAGTCAGTGTAGAGCAGTTTGGTTGAAATTTGTTGAAACACCATTACGATAATCAAACTGAGAGGAAATAAAAGCATGAATTATGACATTTCTCAGGTTTCAGGTGCTGGACTGGGTAACCTTTTTTTCCCCCTGGAAAAAACCCCAAAATAAAACTGACATACATTAATTAAACATTCTGCTTTTACACAAAAAATAAAAACAATCAGTGGAGAAAAGAGGGAAGGTAGAAACTTTTTTTCTACTTTTTCATTCTTTACATGGAATGATCCAGATGACCCAGTCTATAAAGGTGTGCTCAGATGAAGTGAAAGTCACAATATTTAACTGTCAAAGTGTGGCTGAAGCGTCAGCCTAATATAGCAGTGCTTCTTACAGACATCTTCATCCTGACATACAAAGTTGCACAGTCGAAAGTAACAAAAAGAAAAAATGTTTACGATTTTTCACGTCGAAAGGTGATCAAACCTCTGTTTAAAATGATTATCATGTTACATATACATTCATTAAAAAAGCTTTTCTGGTCCTCGCTCACACCCTCATTTCTTTTCAATATCTCGCTGTGGCTATTTTACTTACTTTCAACTGCAAAGCAATTGCACAGGTTGCCCTGAGACTGCAATCAGCTTCAGACTGACTGCAAACACTCTGCAATCAATCTGAGTCAGTCAACAGAGATGAGTGCAGCACATCAGTGATGTATTTCTTTACAGTAGGGGATTCAACTCAACTTGACAGCTGGTTGTATTCAGGTTATATTCCTATATAAAAGCAGGGGTGCCGAGCGCCTATGTCATTTTGCAGTTACATTGCTGTCCTGCAGCGACTCTGTCACTATTTGTGAAGGAATTTTGGTTTCAGATCTAAAGATGCAAATAGTCGATGTGAATTTCTGCTTAATGTGTATTTCTGTGTATGCAGATGATGACACATTTTCAGTTTTTGCTGGTGTATCACAGTAAATTGCCACATCATTTCAGACTGCATAGAATTGCTAACTTGAAGTCAGTCTGAGATAAAATGTCTTAATGCAATTTTAATCACCTGGTCTGTGAGTGGTCACCGACCAGCTTCCCATCTTTGAAACAATGTAAAAG